TTTTTCAGTTCCTGGAGCAGAGGCAGTTGTGTTGTGTATTCGTCGTGTACTCGTCGTGTACTCGTCGTGTACTCGTCGTGTACTCGTCGTGTACTCGTCGTGTACTCGTGTTGTGTACGTTGTGTCGTTCGTGTACTCGTTCGTGTACTCGTCGTGTACTCGTCGTGTACTCGTCGTGTACTCGTCGTGTACTTGTTGTGTACTTGTGTTGTGTACTCGTTCGTGTACTCGTTCGTGTACTCGTTGTGTGTACTCGTCGTCGTGTACTCGTCGTGTACTCGTCGTGTACTCGTTGTGTACTTGTTGTGTACTTGTCGTGTACTTGTTGTGTACTTGTGTACTCGTGTGTACTCGTTGTACTCGTCGTGTGTACGTGTGTGTTGTTCGTTGTTGTGTACTCGTTGTGTCTTGTTGTACTCGTCGTGTACTCGTTGTGTACTTGTCGTGTACTTGTCGTGTACTCGTCGTGTACTCGTTGTGTACTTGTTGTGTACTTGACGGGTGTGTTGTTGTGTTGTTTTTCAGTTCCTGGAGCGGAGGCAGTTCTGTCGGACTCTTCTGATGGAGAAACTCATCTCCAAACATCTGCCCACAGAACTGAGAGAACGACAGAAAATACACCAGGAGGAGATGGACGAGCTCTCAAAGTACTACAATACTACTATAATACTACTACAATACTACTACTACAATACCACTATTACTACTAACTACTACAACTACTACAATACTACTACTACTACTACTACAACAATACTACTACAACTATTACTACTACTACTACTACTATTACTACAATACTACTGCTACTACTACTATTACTACTACTACTACTATTACTACTACTACTACTACTACTACTACTACTACTACTACTACTACTACTACTACTACTACTTTTACCACTACTACTGCTGCTACTACAACTACTATCACTACTACTATTACTATAATACTACTACTACTACTACTACTACTACTACTGCTACTACTGCTACTACTACTACTGTTACTACTACTACTATTACTACGACTACTACTACTACTACTGCTACTACTACTGCTACTACTACTATTACTACTACTACTACTACTACTGCTACTACTTTTACCACTACTACTGCTGCTACTACTGCTACTGCTACTATTACTATTATTACTACTACTACTACTACTACTACTACTACTACTGCTACTACTTTTACCACTACTTCTACTACTACTACTACTACTACTACTACTACTACTGCTACTAATACTACTAAAACTACTACTTTTACTACTACTATTTCTACTACTACTACTATTACTAACAGTACTACTACTGCTACTATTACTACTACTACTTTATAGAATCACAATATTTTAAAATTTGTAGTTTTATTCTGATTTTCCACCTCATGACACTTTCCTTGGGTCTAAGTTACGACCGTTACCGTGGCAATTAACAATAAAAGACAAAATATCAGCGCTCCTGAACGGTCAGCGGTCCTCAAAATGGCGCCGCGTCACAGGAAGCCACAACCCAAGAGCTGTGCATGTTTACGACGATTCAGATTTACTTTTTACATCTCAGCCTAAGTTTAAAAAAAATACTTCTGTTTTTCACGTTTTTAAAGTTCTGTTTCTGTTTTCTTTTCGTTTTCAGTCTGAATAAAAGCGTCCCGATCTTCGTGTGCACCATGGCGTTCCCCACGGTGCCCTGCCCCCTGCACATCTTTGAGCCGTGCTACAGACTCATGATCCGCCGCTGCATGGAGACCGGAACCAACCGCTTCGGAATGTGCCTCGGCGACAAGCTCAAGGGGTGAGAGGGGATAGAACCAACAACCTCTGCACATAATAACACTAAACATAATAAAACACAATGTACATGACCCTCGGAGGGAATAGAACCAACTACCTCTGTGACACATAAAAACACTAAACATAATAAAACACAATGTACATGAGCCTCGGAGGGAATAGAACCAACAACCTCTACAACACATAATAACACTAAACATAATAAAACACAATGTACATGAGCCCCGGAGGGAATAGAACCAACAACCTCTGCACATAATAACACTAAACATAATAAAACACAATGTACATGAGCCTCGGAGGGAATAGAACCAACAACCTCTGCACATAATAACACTATAAATGTGCATCAGAGAGAAGCTCAAACGGTGAGATGGAATCGAACCAACAACCTCTATAACACCCAACATAATCAAACACAATGTAAATGAGCCTCAGGGACAATCTCAGGGGGTGAGAGGGAATAGAACCAACAACCTCTACAAGACTCAACATACTACCATACATTTAAAGAAATGTATATGTGTAATAGGTGTAAGAGGGAATAGAACCAACAACCTCTGCACATAATAACACTATGCATGTGCATCAGAGAGAAGCTCAGAGAAGTGTGAGAGGGAGTAGAACCAACAACCTCTATAACACTCAACATACTATGTATATGTGTAAGAGGTGTAAGAGGGAATAGAACCAG